GCCAGCACCAGCGCCGCTCCATTCATGGGAATGGCCGGGTCGTCCATGGTCCAGACTCCATATTGACTTTGCTGGTCGGTTTTTGGGGCACATGTTTCTGGTTCTGGTGGATTCACATTCAAAGTGGCTAAAGGCACACGTTACGTCAAGCGTCAAGGCTACAGACACTATAGAGGTACTCAGGAAGATTTTTCCACACACGGGTTGCCAGACACCATGGTAACCGACAACGGACCTTCATTCACAAGTGAAGGATTTCAAGAATTTGCCAAAAAGAATGGAATTCTACATGTCCGCACAGCTCCATATCATCCAGCCCCAAATGGATTAGCTGAACGGACTGTTGAGTACTACAAGTGTACAAAATTTCATAACTGTACGACAAACTAAGCTTTATGGAGGGGGGTATTTTTCACATTCTAGGGGGCGCTGTGGAGCTAGTTTTATTGCGATTTTTTGGGACCTTTAAAATTCTAAATTTTACACCATGCCTGATGCGTGCAAAAATTGCTTGTGAGTTTTCGGGTATGTTGAGGCCTCCAAAAAGCCAATTTACTTGGCGGAAGATAAATAAAGAGAGCAGATACAATAGGCCTTTGCAGCGCTTTTGCTGCTCAGGCCTAATTAGCATGCTTATGCACCTGGCTGGAGCTTAGGTGGTGGTGAACAGTAAAAGCCACAAAATTTGACTACTTTTCTCTAAGATGAAACCCTAATGTAATATCACAGAATGCATGATTATTTTTGCATAAGTTACAGGATCAAAAACAGCAGTTTGAATGGAAGTCAATGTTTTAAGGTCACAAGAGGGTTGTGCGTTTTTTTCATAGTGTTCCCTTGTTTTTTTTTTTTTTTTTTTTTCAAAATTCCAAATAGAATTTCAAAATTTGTCAAGAGAGAGGTTTTGTGACAACATTTTATACAATATGCACAGATAAAGCCAAAATGGTGTCCCTCAACAATTTAAATGCGGTACTTACACAGTGACACCGAGAGTTATCTTGAGTCGATAGATCAACTTATCACACTGTGGCTGTCATTCAAAACCGCTTTGTCCAATTTTTTGCACCAGGCTGTTTCAGCTGCAGGAAGAACTGGGTGATAGAAATGATTTTGTGAGACTGTTTTTAAGTCATTCTGATTAACAAGAGGGTTCGTTATCGGTCTCTTTATTAGTTCTTTTTAATGTCCTTCAGCAAACTGATGAGTCATTCTTGCTATTCTGTTTCTGGGTAATATTCATTAAAAAACTAAAGAAAAATCCATAGTTATTCATTACTGTAAACACCGTAAACTGCAGAGCAGTCTGTTTGATTCATTTGACAAATACTTTAAATTCCTGGATGAACAAGAAGACAAATAAACAAAGGCAGCTGTACAAATTGGATTATATCCACGAAGCATGTGAACTAGAAAGGATTACACAGTGCATGCTACATTTGTGACATGCAAAAAGAAGGCAAAAAAGTAGAGGAAGACATGTGAAGGAAGAGACGCAGGGCGTGACCTTATTCCCACAGTGGGAAGAAAAGATATTTTATTGAAACCTTCACACACTCTCACACATCTGGTCCATCCAGTTTTTAGTATCTCAGAGGAAAATTATGCTGGAGGTGTGAAACGCCTGAAGTAATTTATTTATACCAATAAGGAATGGGACAGCACCAAAGCTATTTGTCTTCTGAAGAAGGGTGTGGATGCTTGTTTGTTTGGTTGGTTGGTTGGTTGGTTGGTTCATCCAGGCTCAACATGAATGCATTGTGGTGGCCTTATTTTAGCCAAATGTGGAAATGAATGCACTCTGAATTTCCGTTTTGACATTGTTTTCTTATCGTTGAAATTAGAATCTGTAACTCTTCGCTTTACTACAATGATGAGAAGGAACAAACCTCACACACAGGAGACATGCAAGCATGTTCCATCAGACCCACACATCACATTTACAGTTACTGTATCAGACAGAGTCCGCCATGTTGCTGTAGAGACTGAGGGGACTGCTACCTACAGGCTGGGGTTCATTCAACTCTTTCAGACTATGGTACAAGAGGGATCAAAACAATGAGAGAACAAAACCCAGTTTATGTTGGGAGTGTGTGGTCTAGTTCATTTGAGTTGGCTAAGTACTGCAACCCAGTTTAAACTTAAAGCTGTAACTAAATATAGCATATGTGGAGACAGACCGAAAGATACATTTTTGCAAAACCACTAAAATCTGATAATGGGTCGTGGCAAGACTATATATTTACAAACATACGATGGCTTGCTAGGCTAATCAAATTCTACATGAAAAACAACATATAAAAGATGAAAAAGTAAACTTGAATAATAAAATTCAAGCTATCCATACCAGACATACCATTCCATACCGTATCACGTTGCCTCTGTTGCTCGTTCATGCCGCTTTGCGCTGTATAACATACGAAAGATCAGACCATACCTAACACAACATGCCACCCAGCTCCTGGTGCAATCTACTGTCATCTCCCGCCTCGACTACTGCAACGCCCTTCTAACTGGTCTTCCAGGCTGTACTGTGAGACCTCTTCAAATGGTCCAGAACACAGCGGCGCGTCTGGTCTTCAATCAGCCAAAAAGAGCACATGTCACCCCTCTGTTCATTGAGCTCCACTGGCTACCGCTAGCTGCACGCATCAAATTCAAATTGCTAACACTAGCATACAAAGTCCGAGAAGGTACGGCTTTCATCTCCCTGAATCCTCTTGCAAAGGCTTACGTCTCGGCCCGGCCGCTCCGGTCATCACAGGATCATCGGCTAGCAGTGCCTACACCACGCTCAGGACAATCCAGACTCTTCTCATGCATCGTTCCACAAATGTGGAATGACCTACCAAGCACTACCAGAACAGCGGCTTCCTTTTCAATTTTCAAGAAACTCCTGAAGACCCTGCTCTTCAGAGAGCATCTTCTTAACTAGCACCTTGCCTGCACCCATCCCCCCTCTCTACTGTCCACTCCTTGTTCCCTACTCTCCATGACTGATGTCAAGTTGTTGTTGTTATTGTTGTTGTTATTGTTAGCCTCAAGGGCAATATGCCAATTATCACTTGTAAGTCGCTTTGGACAAAAGCGTCTGCTAAATACATAAACATACCATATCAAACCATAACATAAATGTATTTAAGAAGTATAATAGCTTGGCAGCTAATCAAAGTGCTGTGCATAAAAGAGCCAAAGACATACAGTATAGCAAAAAAACTGAGAAATTAGTTAAAATGCATAAAAGGCCAAGCAGGCTCCCAATGAACCTAAACTAAAAGTCACTGAAAACAAAAAGGTCTTAAGTATTGATTTGAAGTGATCAAGAGTGCGAGCAGCTTATTTTCAGTAGGGCCGAGCTCTGATTGTAGCCACAGCAACAAGGGCGCCACAGTGGCCATAGTTATAGCCACTGTGGCTATGGTGAAGACATGCTGAGTATTTTCTTAAAGGTCAACTTCACTGAAAAACTACTCTTAATCATTATTTCTGATTACATTAGGTTATTCTGAGTTTAACATGCAGGCTGAACATGAAAATAGTATTCTACCCTTGCTTCCTGCATTATCTTTTGATAAAGAAAAGATGATGAAACTAGGATTTGAGAAGCCTGACAGATCCACGTCACACGGTCACTGAACATCCGTGGACTCACCCATCTTAACTCACAATGGAAAAGGCTGTTGTTGGTTTAACGTCCAGGAAACAGCAGAAAACGTCTCAACAAGTAGAAGTTAACCGTTAGTGTTACCATCTCCACCACACAGCACAACTCCTTCAGGCTTGTGTTATTTATGGAGATAAACATCAATGTTGCAGAGCAAACAGAGACCCAGTGCAGTTGCATTGGTGTTAGCCAATCTGAGACGAAATGTCCAAATATCAGAAAACATGACTCCAGATGCTGTCATCTGAAGCTCAACTTTAATCTGGCTCATTTCTAGTTCCTGAAACAGGTGCACCAGAGCTTTTTTTCCCCCTAGAGTAGACTTACAAGGCACTCATTCCTACTAGAAACCACTGCAAATGTATTAAACAAATTAGTACAGTTGATTTTTAAATTATATAATTTAACACATATAGCTAAAATAATATAGCTGAAATACTACATTGGAATAAGAGGGTACAGGATTATCTTAAACTTTTAGAGTCAAGCACATGTTTGTCAGTGTTGATCATTTTACATGCATTATGAAACTTAATTGTAGTTTTGCTTTAGCTCCTGTGCTCTCACATACAATAAGTCACAATGAACTGTAATCACAATAAAAAACAGACTGAATATGTTTTGAATAGGTTATCACTTGTTCCCATTCTGTTCATGTTAATCAAATCAGCTGGCATTAAACAACAAAAGAGCACACGGAAGCTGATAATAGTAAATGATCTGTTTTAGAGTTTCATACACTGGTGGTGTACTTTACTAGTGTACTGCCCTCATGTGGTTAGACCACTGTACTTTACTATACTTTATGAGGGTGCGGGCATCTGCGAGAAACTGAGAGACAGACGAGAGATGTTGGACGCGTTTGTAGTCTCCAGCTGGCCTCTCATATGAAATGCAGAGACGAGATGCTGTCTGCTGACCCACATCTTGTCTCATCACCACACCCCCCTTCGAAGAACCTCATTACGTCAGACTCCATAATGAACCACAAGACCAATGCCACACTGTATCCGCACATTTAATCAAAAGATGTGGTATACTACTTTAAATACACCAGGGCGCCTCCACATGCCTGCGGATAGTGATACTTCCTGTGAATTTCCAAATGCCTCAATTTAATCCATCAGTGGGAGCCAGCTTCTCTTCATGGGAAAGTCCATTTTCACTTCTACGGGCGAGTTTCTACTTAGTGAGCTGCAGTTTTTTTAAAGATATATGCGTGTTTTATATTCAGACAGCTAGAAACATAATTGTGATAATTTAATTTAAGATTATTATAATACAAAATTGCAACTATGGGGATTGGCTTTCACATCTTAGATGCATGTAATAAATGTGCTCCCCTATCGGAGTTGGTACGTTCCACACCCTGCCTTTAGCCCTTATTGTACCCTATGCTACTGAACAGATTTACCGCTACGCAAACTAGCTTCCCACTGGCTTCAACCGAGCGAAAAGATGCTCTTTTACGGGACTAAAACTATGAAACAAACACCAAGAACTCTGGGAAAACTTTACCCAACTGTACTCAAACTTTAATAGACTTTCAACCCAATCCGCTTCTAGTTTCGAGTGTGTTAGCATTGTTTTAATCTCACCAATATTTCCTATTGGACGCCTTCATTTTTTCTTTCTTTTTTTTTATTTCAATTTTTTTGGAACAGTCCAGTCTGATGAATTCACAGAAAAAAGACGGAGACGACGATGTTCCCGTTAAAGACCCGGTAAAATACGGAGAACTGGTCATTTTAGGGTAAGTCTCTTAATAATAATAATAAAAAAAGATACCCGAAGCCATAGTGAAAGATTTGGAACGGTTCGTGAATACACTCCAAACCATGTTAAACGCGTGGGAGCTCCGTCCATTTACACGATAAAAGACGACGAGTCGGAACAGGTTTAATCCAGTTGAATCGATAAAAAGATACACATTATTTGCGCTTTACGTACATTTTATGTTTGGTAGTAAAATAGCCTAGCAGCGTTTCACTGACATAAAGTAAGTTTTCGGTTCATACAGTGGATTATTGTCTCAATTTACACGAGAATAGCGTTTTATGTGACTGCATCGTGAGTTTGAAAGCAAAATTGACCAAATGTGTAGTAACTACGTACTACACAAGGCTACTACGGGTATTTCATCAATGGTTGTAGCGGGGGTGAGCTGAGCAGAGCTGAAAACCCCAATGATGTCATACATTGTTGGATCCGTGACTGCTAAAAGTGGGACTGGGGGAAATATTGCCTAAAATATGCATGCACCTCGCTCAGTAATGTGGGTTGGCTATTACAAATTAATAAAATGCCCATATCCATGCCAGGGATGAAGGACGAGGAGGTGGGGGATGAGTAGCTGGAGAAACCCCTCTTTACATCAGAGTGGGCAGGCAGGATGTGCTGATGACAGCCTCCACGGCATTTCCAGCTCGTTCAAGGTCTGCAGGGACCAGGAATGCCACACTAGTCGCACCCAGATCTCCTCTTTTGCATGCAGTTTCCTGTAAATGCCAAATATAACTGACCTAATGGCCTATCACTTCCTCTCCAGCTGTACATAGAGTTATGATGCTGTAGTCCATCTGCATCCAGAAACTGATGAGTTGGACGTGCATTTTTATGAGTATTTTAGGCTTTATCCCAGGTGTTTTTTCACATCATTGAGGGCAGCATGTGTGATGTTGTTACAATAACCTCAACGCTGTTAAAATACCCAATATTTTGCTTTAGAGATTGACCGATGTGGGTTTTTCTATTGCAGATACAGATACCAATGCTGATACTAGGTTATGATCAGCCAATGGCCAATATGTGCTGCCAATTTTCATGGCCGATATCTAGATTATTTTACACATTATTTACATAATAAATCAAATATTTGGCCAATCAATAAGCTTACCAGGTAATATGTATGCAAAACAGGTAAATAAAAAGTAAGGTCAGTTGACGCTTATGTTTTAGAACAGTGGTTCCCAACCCTTTTTCCTCAGGGACCCCCTTGCCTGTGTCCAAAACAAGCCAGTCATTTAAAGTAGGGCTGTCACAAATGATTATTTTAAAAGCCGACCAATCACCAGTTGTTTATTTTTTGGCATTTAGTCCAATAATCGTGTCATGCATGAAGTATAGCTCATTGCACCAGGATGCAGCTGCTCCAAGTGATTAATTACAAACTTTACGTTGAAATACAGAGCTAAAACTCTTATACAGAGTTTTGGGTGTGTTATTGGATTCAGTTCTTGGTAACCTCACAATTTCAGCACAGACAAAATTGTGGGACCAGCTTGGGGGGGTTCACGTACCCCAGGATGGGAACCACTGTTTTAGAGCATCTATTTATCAGATGTTTTTCAAGAAAACAAATGTACATTTCAATAAAATAAATACAACTTTGGCGTGTAAATAAAAAATGTAACAGAAAAATAAAAAAATTATGCTGAAAACACATAGAAATCTGCAAAAAGACACCAGTTAAACCTCAAGTGCATTTGATCTTTTTTTGCTTTTTACTAATAATTCTTGACATCTTTGTTTAACCTATAAATGAAAGCTTTTAGTGCACATGACTTTGCTGTAATGTCATACTAACAAACCTCTCATTTCTGAGACTGGATATTAAGACCTGGGTATACCTGGGTATCCGCGGACATGCCTGACTTAAATGGGCTCTGCTACAGAGGTGTATCAGCCAATGTTGGTTTATAAAAAAGAAATGTAAATAATTAGCCTATCCATTTTTTGCATCAAACAGTGGCTCTATGAAACCGTAAAATAGATATTAATAAAGCCTGTTCCAGGGCTATCATGTCTGTGCTTAATCCCTTTTTGCTCAGCAAATAACCATTTTTATTTGGGTGTATTTCCATTTTACGATTAAGTATGGTAATACTTGTATACCAGAAAATATCATTCTCTGGTATCAGGTGTCTTGTAATTGTGTATGTAGAAAAAACACAGAATATTTAACATATTTTATGTCAAACACTTTCAGACCTTCCATTAGATTGGACAAGTGATTCTAGTTTTGGGATCCAACACCGATTACTTACTGACTAGTAACTGTGCCAAATTCAACCAAACTACTCAGAGCACACTGGTTCTGAAGTGATTAAGTAATTTAAAACAGTAAATTTATATTTAAAAAAAGTGTGTCGACTAAAGTTATTAGCAGCGGATAATTATCACAGTTAGGCTTTTCACAGCAGCCCTGGCCTATTCTGTATCATCTCTCAATGCAGTTTGTAGTATGTTAAAGCAACTTTTACACTTCTGATGCTGCTGATGAGCGAATCTCATCATGTGCTTTAGGAAGACCTGATAAGGATCTGTTCCAATGACTAGGTCATCTGTTCCCAGCAAACAGCTGGTCATTTTAAAATCAGATAAAAGATGCAAAAGCAGACATTTGTTTCTCCCTTCTTCCTTTTATTGTAATTCCCAGGCCTGTTTTCCAAATGTCTGGTTTTATTTCGGATCATTCTGCCGTTCTGAGTGGTCGATTCCTACCTCGCTGCAGGCCACGTGATCTTTGCAGTGTCAGCATGTTTGACTCGCTCACAACCAACAATCGTCACCATGCTAACACCCTCTTGTCCTTCCCAGGAGTTTCCATCCATAGCCTGTCTATGTGTTACATTCCTCTGTCTCTCACACTGTCCCCTCACTGCCAGCCCTCCACCATTCTGCTGAGTGTCAGCTTTGACAGAAGCAGGTCTCCATAGTGGCTTGTCCTCAACGAAAATAAACCTTGTGTTGGGGGGGGGGCTGAAGGACTGAATATTTCATATGGTGCCTTTAGATGTGCACACATGATGGCTAGAAGAAGCCATTCAGCTTTAGTTTACTGTCTCAAAAATGCTTTTGTTGGGAGTTTTTATCTTTGGGCATGAACATCCGAAGTTTTAGGCTTCGCAATGTCACTCCTCGAGACCTATGTCAATCAATCAATCAATCAATCAAAGCTTTATTTATAAAGCGCCTTCCGCAACCCTGTTGGGAAGCCCAAGGCGCTGAACATGGTACATGAGAAAAGTGAAATATGATGAATAAATCGAAAATAAAAGCAGTTCAAAGATTACAAAAAAAGGTAAAACATTAACAGGGCCTGAAATTCACTGCGGGATTGCGGGTATTGCGCTTTACATAGTCGCTTCTCGCAAATCTAGTTTTATAATGCGGGAAAGTCCCGCACAGCCGGCAGCGAATGTGGACGTTTGTATCAGAGCCATAAAAATCCCACAACATCGAGCCCGTTCTTCATCTTGGTGATTGGCGGCGCGCTGGATTATTATTTTTTCTCCACTTATCAAAATACGAGCTCAGTCCCTTGCTAGCAGCAAAGCAGTGCTTCGGTTGTCGGATTTAACGCCTGCATGCAGACATGGACCGCTGGTTAAAACGGAAATCTAACAACAAAGGGGAACCTGCTCCCAAACAAACTTTACAAGAAATCCCCAGCGTGGAAGGCAGCGCTGATTCCAGCGATGCTGTGAATGAGACAGATCCTCTGGACTTTCAAAAAGGTAGCGTCACTGAAAGTAACGTTAGCAAGCAGCCTAAAGATAAGTTTCAGGCTAACTGGCTCAGACTGTATCCCACGCTTGAAAATAATAATGGGGAAATGAACTGCTCCATTTGTAAAATGTACGGCGCTGTGCCTTTTACAAGTCGATGCTACAAAACATCAACTTTACGCCGTCACGCTGATGGTGTGTCTCACACTGCAGCAATAAAAAGAAAACGTGAGGCGGATTCAGCAAAAAATGAAATGGCAACAGCTAAATTTTGCCATGTGGTTAAATTCCTGAAAGAAATGGAGTGTCCTGCTTTCAAAAAACTTACAGAAACATCAAGTTATGGTAGCTACGTCAATGAAAAAGGACTGTCAGAAATGTAGCAAGCTATTGCAAGCACTCTTGTGGAAGATGTTGACAAAGCTGTTGAAAGAAGTGCCGTGTTTTCATTAATATTGGATGAATCTACTGACATTAGTAACACCAAACGACTGATTATCTATGTCAGGTTCATAGATGACAAGGTCAAAACAAAACTGATAAGGAATTCTGAAATTGCTGATGGAAGAGCAGACACTATTGTTGAAGATTTCGGAAAGTTTTTATTTCTTTTTTTAACTTCTGTGTGAGGAAAGAAATCAGGCAGAGGAGATGAAACAAAGAAAGGGACAAAAGCAACGAAGATGAGAATGCTGCAGGAGTCCAATGAAAGCTGCTCATAAACGTGATGTAAGGTATGATTAGTACAACATAAGACTGCACATTTGGTAATTCCCCCCCCCCCATATATAAATTCCACCTGTACGGACATATGTGAGGGGGGAATTCCCCCCTGTTTTTAGGAGTGAATTTCAGGCCCTGATTAAAGTAGAAGAAGAAGAAAATATCATTTCTATAGCGCCTCTCAAGATAAAAATCACGAGGCGCTTCACAAAAACAAAAAATATAAAAATTGTAAAAATATAAAAAAGCGTTTCGAAAATGTTTAAAAATATCTTTAAAATGAGCAAGAATAAGCAATTCCGATTTAAAAGAAAAAATGTTAAGAAAGACAGAGAGTGAATAGGAAAGAGGGAAATCAGTGGATCCTGAGGAAGGTGGAATATGTGGGGAGAAGTAGAAGACAAATGGGTAAAACAAGGGATAAAGAGACCAATGAAAACAGGGAAATAAAATCAACATAAAAGTGGGCCAAATTCAAACACGTTCAAGGAACGCCAAGCGGAGGAGATGGGTTTTTAGC